TGCTATAAAAATAAAAGTTATTATTATTACAAGAACATCAGATGTCTGATGATGCAACGGAGGATAAAATAAGACATAAATATATTAGCTCAAGTTAGATGAGACCACACGGCGGAGTACTGCCCTCATTCTTACCTGGCAAAACTGATGGGGTAAGAGCTCGAGAAAGCCTCACTGGCCCCGTGCATTGCTGAGTTGTCCCCAACACCCTGGCTTCTGTTCCAGGGCGCACTAATGGTCGTCACCGGGAGATATATGCTGGACACCGGCTTCTGGTCCTTCTGCTGCTGAGCTTCATTGCTAGTGGGGTTGACTCCAAACCGGTAGCCCTGTCCTCCTGAAGTGCTGACCCCACAGATGGAGATGGGGTTAGAGTTGGGCCTCTCTGTGGAGGACGTGCCGCTCATTTGGCAATAACTCTGGCCTGCAGATGACTTCTCCTGTTTGATCACACCTGAGGTGCAGAGCTGAATGAAGCCAGCGTCTTTCTCTTTCTTCACCAACGCAGACAAAGTGGTTGTGGGGGTTAAGGAGGCAGTTGTGGATATGCTGGAGCAGGACTGATCTGGACTCGTCATGCCATTGAGAGACACAGAGACTGCCCCACAGCCGTTCATACTCTCGACCACAGCGGGCTTTATGTCCCGCTCTGAGCTAACGTCCCCAAGCAGAGAATCATCTGCCAGAGAGGACAGGAAGGCATCATCGCCTACATAAAAATCTGAGGGGGACCCAGTGAGCTCGAAGTCTTGGAGCAGGTCCAGAGCGTTGTCACTGAACAATTTCTGATGCACGTCCACATCTTTGCCAATGTGCTCAAAGGCATGATCAAGGTCAATTGGTTCCTGGTCTCCTTTATCCATGGAGAACTCCTCTGTTTTCATGGGGAAGAAGTTGGGATCTGATCCCCCAATGAGTGAATCCATGGAGGTGATGTCTGCTATGCTGGCCTCCAAATGGGGCAAATTTTCCCTCAACGTTTGGCGGCCGAATGTGGCGGAGGTCTGGAGTAAGTGGTGCTGCTGCTGCTGAGGTTTCCTGGACTCGTGGTCTTCGAACAAGGAGCCGACAGTGGCAGTAACCGAGGTGAGCTCCTCTGGAAGGGGGCTGTTGCTGAGGCCGTTCGGCACCTGTCCTGGCTGCATCAACGGGCTGGATGGAAGAAGAACAGATGTGGCGGAGGCGATGGACATGGCACTGTGAGGAGCCACTTTCAACAGACCTCCCTCCTCAGGGCTTTCAGTGTAGACCAATTTGCTTAAATGGTCATCTCTTCTATATGTAATCTTCTTCACTCCACCTTTATCCATCTTTTTTTTAAAATTTTTTTTGGGGGGGAAGAGACAAGAGTGTTAATATACAGGGCTAAGTAGAGTGCATAGCAACCACATTAAAACAAACACAAAGGGCACTTATCAGGCGTGGTGAAAGGCTAACACTATAATGTAATTTAACACGTTTTCTGGTTGCACACATGCAGAGAGCAACTAATAAACGTCAATATAAAACAGAAAAGTTGCCAAGCATCCTCATCATCATCATCATCATCATCCTCCTCCTCATCCTCCCTGCGCGCCCTTAGCATAACGAAGCTAAACGCAGCTAGCTATCCCCATTAACAAAACGTTAATCTGAGCGCCAAAACAACAAACAAACACTGCACTTTAAAGTAAACACACAACACAGGCTCAAACACAAGTCAAACACTGACGGCCGTGCGTTTACCCAAACCTCTAAACATACATATCTGTACGTGTTGGCGTGCTAAGTAGCAATGTGGCTACCCTAAAGTGGCTCCGTGCCCACATTTCAGTCCACATAGCTCCTTTTATAGCGCGTTTAACGCTAAATGCATCCGCTGCCGCGTTACCGTAAAACCAATCAATGAGAATAAAAGCTCGATATTTACCCTTGAGGTGACTGTTTGTTGGTATGTGTCCACAGGTCGTCTGTCAACATTGTTTTGGTTGAAAGTGGCAGTGCACAACGCGCAACGCTGACAATCGATGTTTGTGGCTACAGAAAGAAAACAACAATAAAAACAACCTGCGACGGGCCGAGTGTTTGGCTGGAGTTGTGTCCCTCCGCTCCTGCACTGGATTTTGTCACGCAAACTGCGTTGTACTGGTCTGCGCTATGGGGATTCGCAGCTAGCCATTAGGAAAGTAGGCGCTAACCTCCAGGAAAAACATACAAAATGGAGAACTAGTAAGCCAGCCCCGTGGCAGAGCTGTTTACGACGCACAGCGCCACCTGCTGG